AAAAAAAAAAAAAAATAGATAGAGACAGGGGATAGCTGAGGTGGACAGAGTGACAAAGATGAAAAGAAGAGTAAAGTAGAAGACCAGTTCACCCAAAAGATAGAGTGACAAAATATAGTCAAAGTAATGTGATTTTAGACAGTGACAGATGATCTGAAGAAAAAAGTAGTATCAGCTGATTAAAAGAAACCAAGAGGCAGGTGGACATCTCAGACTTAGAGTAGTCAGGGATGCTTTTTCTGCAAACAGAGTCAAGGCTAGCTTGGTTGGTACTTCTATAAAAAATACATAGTACTGCCATCTGCTGGAAAATGTTTATGAAAAACATAAATACACAAAATCATCAATGTATACTTACACAAACGGATGTGACATCACTGTCTGAAAAGATCACACCAGAAGAAAGATCTGAATAAGAATGAGCTCTAGGAATATCTGTAAGAAGTCTTCCAGGCAAAGAGAACAGCAAATGTTAAAGCCTTAAATCAATGGAACAACTTGACATGGTCAATAAACAAAAAGAAGGTGGTAGAAGTTAGAAGGGGGACAATACCCAGATGATGTAGAGCCTCTGAAGGAGTTCATATTTTATTCTAAGTTTGCTAGAATATTCTAGGAGTGTTTTAAGCAGGGAACTGATAAAATTTGACTTGTGTTTCCAGAAGATGACTCTGGTGATTTTGTGGAAATAAACTTTAAAGGGAGGGTTGTTAGGGTATCATTCCAGAAAATAATGGTAGTTTGGATTAATAATGCTGGAGCTGGTGAGATGCAGTCAGAGTTGGGATAAAGGGTGAAACAAAAGAACTTCTAACAGATGAAACATACAAACTAAAAACAATGACAGAGGCTCAGCACCTGTGGCTCAAGTGGCTAAGGTGCCAGCCACATACACCTAAGGTAGCGGGTTCGAATTCAGCCTGGCCCACCAAACAACAATGACGGCTGCAACCAAAAAAAAAAAACAAACAAAAAAACATAGCTGGGCGCTGTGGTCCCAGCTACTTGGGAGGCTGAGGCAGGAGACTTGCTTGAGCCCAGGAGTTGGAGGTTTCTGTGAGCTGTGATGCCACAGCGCTCTACCCAGGGGGACAGCTTGAGGCTCTGTCTCAAAAAAATAAAATAAAAGCAATGAGAGAAATCAGGGAATGCGTAAGTTCAGCCGACTTTTTAAGCATAGCAAATGACTACTGTTGACTAAGATAGGGAAGACCACAGAAGGAACAGACGCGAGGGATAAAGAACAGGAAGAAAAGTTTTAGTTTGGTCATATTAACTCAGACACTCACAATAGTCAAGCAGAAATTTAAATAGGTATTTAAATTGAAATAGAGCCTGGAGCTCAGAAAATGGAAGAAATAAATTTTAGATGAGCTTTGATGTGTACCATCATATCAAAGTCTAAAAGAACAATTGCCAGCAAAGGAACTATTCAAGACCACAGAAATAGGAGAAAACCAAGAGTGTGGTATTCAATAAACTCAGCAAAAAGTGTGTCCTAATAAGGAGGAAGCACTCAACTATTACCAAATGGTGATTAACAGTCAAGTAATACATTTGCTAATGTGGCAGCACTTGATAACCATGATAAGAACAAGTTAAAGAAGGAAAGGAAGGGAAGTAAAAAGAGTAAGCATAGATAAATCCTTCTAGGCATTTTGTTCTTAAAAGCAGAAGAATAAGTCAACAGATGGATGAGGTTTAAGGAAAAGTTTTCTTAGGACTGGCAATAGTCCATTATCTTTGTATGATATAATGTGAATGATTCATGAAAGATGGAAAAATTGATGACTCAAGGGACAAAGGGTTATGCTGAGTGTAGTAGCTTATGCCTATAATTCCAGTGACTTGGGAGGCGGAGGTAGGAGGATCACTTGAGGCAAGGAGTTCAAGGCCAGACTGGGCAACACAGTAAGACTCTGTCTCTTAAAAAAAAAAAAAATTCACCAGGTATAGTGACGCATGCCTGTACTCTCAGCTATTCATCAGGCTGAGGAGAAGGATAGCTTGAGCCCACTTCCAGGATACAGTGACTTATGATCCTGCCACTGCACTCCAGCCTGAAGGTACAGATGATTAGGTCACATTGTTTGCATTTGTTAGGTAGAGTCCAAGCTTTAAAAAAATATGGAATGCTTCATGAATTTTTGTGTCATTTTTGCACAGGGGTCCTGCTAATCGTCTCTGTATTGTTCCAGTTTTACCATATGTGCTGCTGAAGCTTGCACAAGGCCTCATCACTTAAAAGAAAATACAGAGGGTGAGAGGGAGAGAGAGAGAGGCAGAAAAGGCAGTTCACTGCCAAAGCAATGCTCTTAAGTCGACAGTAGGGAATGGAATCAGATGACAAGTAGAAGGCTGGCCTGAGATAAGAGCAGGAACAATTCATAGTTTATAAAAAAACAGAGAGAATACATGGATACCTTCTATAGCCTGGTGATTCTGCTGGCAAGAAGATAAAGTAGTCCTCTTGATAATTTTATTTTTCCAGTGAAACAAGGTTATGAACTGAGAGTAGGGTGGGAAAGAGAATGTGAGAAACTTACGAAGAAAGAAAACATGGCAAAGTGATTTTCATTAAGGGACTGCAGTAGGATTGCAGGGCAGCCTATTTGACAACTATGGCTATGAATTTTAAGAACAGAGCACACTGCAATCTACCTTTTCCAGCTCCATTAACAAGAGATAGTTATCATGGACACTGGTATTCCCTTTCCTTTTCCAGGTCAAATATTATCAAATCCTTTATCTAATCCTCCTAAGCCATGGCTTCTAGGACTCTTACATACCTTGGTCTTAGCCCAAAAACACATCTACCAATATCTCTCTTGAAATGATGTGCCATGAACAGAGCACTCCTTTCTAGATGTGATTAGTACATAAAACAGTAGACTATTATCTATCAGGAGTATCCACATTAGAAGAGTTGTCTTGGGCCATACATTAAATACACAAACACCAACCAAAGCTGATGAGCAAAAAAGGCCGTGTTGTTATTTTTGTGACATCTGCCACCACCACAGATAAATAAAAAAGTTTTCACATAACCCACTGACTATGGGTTGGACATCCCTGAACCATTTTGGACACTATTTAACACATGTACGTTACTTACTTAACTGACAGATGGGGCTAAAGTTTTTTTGTTTTTGTTCTTTTTTGCAGTTTTTGGCCAGGGCTGGGTTTGAACCCACCACCTCTGGTATATGGGGCTGGTGCCCTACTCCTTGAGCCACAGGTGCCGCCGAGGTTAAGCTCTAATGAAAAGGTATACTATCTCCTCCTACCCTTGTACTGAAATACAATATACCTGATTTAAATACCTAACATCTACCCCAATTCTGAAATCATAAGGGAACTTATTTTTTCCAATTCTGCTCACTCACTGCAACCTTTTCATTTTTAGATGGCTTATTACCTGCAACTCTTAATGCGCTGCTTTGAGCTATTTGTTGTTGTTTTTCTTTTGCATGTATCTTGTCTCCCCAGCTAGACTGTCAACATTTTAAGAACAAGAGTAGAATACTTCCTAGAGTTGTCTAAAATGTCATTAACCTTAGTAGATACATAATATTTATTAGTTAACTTTCTAGTAGTTTCCCCTATGGCTTTGAATCCCCTTGGCCACCAGGGTAATAACATATTTTTATTCCCCAAATTCCCATTTCAGTCCTGAAATTTTTTCATACATACTTGGTGGATCAGCATTTTCATCTCCAGGAGTATCTGAAGTTGACAATAGCTATAAAGCAAAAGAAAAGTTAATAGGTAAAATCAGAAATCTCAATCTGAACACAGCAATACTAAGTTTACCTTAAATAAATGTATATTCTTTCCTGAAAACAAGGTAATTCATATACATCACTTTGTTTTTGTTTTACCCTAATTATCACATAGATTTCCTTAAACGTGACACTTATTCCAAATTAGAGTTCAAGGATTTCTCTAGTTTAGGAAAGTAGAGAAACTTATTAATGGTTTCTCATTCCATTTTAGAAAGCAAGATCTTAAATGGGTTACTTTCAAAGGGTCTCAACTCCTAATAAGTTATTTTTTGTTTTTCTGGAAAAGAGTGAAGAGACACTAAAGATCCTTTTCCATCACCACCACCACCAGTTTGTATAGTGGCACAATGAATGATTTTTCAAAAACTAAAACCAAAAAACAATCTTCATTTTGAAGTCCCAAACAAGTTGGTTATAAAAGTAAAAGAGGTGTCATTAATATGGATAGAAAATATGTAACTACAGTTAATAAGAAAACAAATACAAATATTACTTCTAATATTTTTGCAATTACTATAAAGCAGAATTCAATGGTGTTAATTTAAAACATGTGTTTACCTGTTCAAGAAGATGAGGATATCGACCTTGAATCTCATCAACAAACCCTTGTCCTTTCATGCGTATCAAGAACTCACACCTAAAACATAAGAGGATAATTATTTTTTTTTTTTTTTTTTGAGACAGAGCCTCAAGCTGTCCCCCTGGGTAGAGTGCCGTGGCATTACAGCTCACAGCAACCTCCAACTCCTGGGCTCAAGCGAGTCTCCTGCCTCCGCCTCCCAAGTAGCTGGGATCACAGGCGCCCGCCACAACGCCAGGCTATTTTTTGGTTGCAGCCGTCATTGTTGTTTGGCGGGTCCGGGCTGGGGATTCAAACCCGCCACCTTAGGTGTACGTGGCTGGCGCCTTAGCCGGTTGAGCTATAGGTGCCAAGCCAGGATAATTATTTTTAAAGTGTTTCATACCAAAAATGTAAGATGATCATTCCAGAAAAGTGGCTTTCAATCTTTTGTACCCCATGGTAAAAACATTTTATACACAACCCAATATATGTGTATTTAATAGGAATAAAGCTATCATAAAACAATGTACATTCTTTATATATGCTGATGCCTTATTTATTTTTTTTATTAAATCATAGCTGTGTACATTAATGCAGTCATGGGGTACAATGTGCTGGTTTTATATACAATTTGAAATATTTTCATCAAACTGGTTAACATAGCCCTCATGGCATTTTCTTAGTTATTGTATTAAGACATTTATATTCTACATTTAGTACCTTTCACATGTACCCTTGTAAGATGCACGGTAGGTGTGGTCCCACCAATCACCCTCCCTCCACCTATCCTACCCTCCCTCCCTTTCCCCTTTCCCCATATTCTTGGGCTATAATTGGGTTATAGCTTTCATATGAAAGCTATAAATTAGTTTCATAGTAGGGCTGAGTACACTGGACACTTTTTCTTCCATTCTTGAGATACCCTGCTAAGAAGAATCTGTTCCAGAGATGCCTTATTATTTAACACAACAACAACAAAAACAAAGAGTCTGGAAAAAAGGGGCACAAACTAAAGAATGAAAAATGCTATGAAACACAATTTACCTGATTGGCTTAACACAATTTCAGAAATTATAATTCAGTATTCCTAAAATGTAATGTTTCACAATATAATAACTACTGGGTGGTGCCTGTGGCTCAGTGGGTAGGGTGCAGGCCCCATATACCGAGGGTGACGGGTTCGAACCCGGCCCTGGCCAGCTAAAACAGCAGTGACAACTGCAACAAAAATAGCTGGGCATTGTGGCAGGCGCCTGTAGTCCCAGCAACTCGGGAGGCTGAGGCAAGAGAATCACCCCAGTCCAAGAGCTGGAGGTTGCTGAGATGCCACAGCACTCTACCGAGGGCAACACAATGAGACTCTGTCTCAAAAAAAAAAACAAAAAACAGTATAATAAGTGCTAACTTTTCTCCAAAGTTCACTCTTCCATTATATTTGAAGAACAAACCACTACCCTTCCTCTCAAAAACAGATAATCAAATATTCTCTTCTCTACCTACCATACATAATGTAACAGTTTTAAACTTCTTGGGCTTCTTAAAAATGTTACAGGAAGTTCATACACCATCTGTTTCCCTTGTATTCCTTTTGTTTTATCAAAAAATGGTGTCAGACAATTGGATAGTCATATGCAAAAAAGAAAAAGATCCTTGATATATGTCTACACTATATACAAAAATAAACTAAAAATGAATCATATACTTAAATATAAAACCGAAAACAACAGAACTAGAAGAACGCAAGAGAAAAATCCTTTTATGCTCATGTTAGGCAAAGAATTCGTAGATAAGAAACTAAAATATAATCCACAAAAGATAAAATTGATAAATTGGCATCATCAAAATTAAAAACATCTGTTATTCAAAACACAATGCTGAAGAAATGAAAAGACAAACCACAGACTAAAAGAAAGTTTGCAAAGGTCAAAGGTTTGGTCAGCAAGAGGGCAGAGGAGAAGACACCAGACTTCTTCTAGACAGCTGGGGCGGTGCTGGTGGCTCAGTGAGTAGGGCGCCAGCCCCATATACCGAGGGTGGTGGGTTCAAACCCGGCCACGGCCAAACTGCAACAAAAAAATAGCTGGACACTGTGGGGGGCACCTGTAGTCAGCTACTTGGGAGGCTGAGGCAAGAGAATCACCTAAGCCCAGGAGTTGGAGGTTTCTGTGAGCTGTGTGATGCCATGGCACTCTACTGAGGGTGATAAAGTGAAATTCTGTCTCTACAAGAAAAAAAAAAGAGAGAGACAGCTACCCACAAATAAAAAAAGCCCTGAGAGAATTCAGTAAGTCCAATTAACCCAAAAAGACTAACAACACAGAAAGGATCACTGGGGAGATATGCTCAGCAAAAATGTATGGAGGTGGCTAAGAATGAAGGGCAGGGTTCAAACCCGCTACCCTCGGCATGTGGGGCTGGCGCCCTACCCAGTTAGCTCCAGCCAAATTGCAACCAAAAAAAAAAAAAAAAAATAGCCAGGTGTTGTGGCGGGTGCCTGTAGTCCCAGCTACTCAGGAGGCTGAGGCAAGAGAATCGCCTAAGCCCAGGAATCACAATGCCACAGCACTCTACCGAGAGCGATAAAGTGAGACTGTCTCTAAAAAAATCAATCAATAAATAAATAAGAATAAAGGGCAGGGAATATCTCTATCAGTCACGTGGTGAGTGTCATCACGACTCCCTGGGGTCCGCTCTGGGAAGGACCAAGCCTTTGCCACTGAAGACCTCAAAAGCCCCTGAGGTAGCCACAGACTTCTGGAAGGTTTCATAGTCAAAGATCCTCTAGTGTTCATGGGTGCTGACTCTAGTAGCCTACTCTGCAGAGGACCCTGACAGCCTTCATCCATCTCCCTGACAAAGAGCAGCTCTTGTACCACCCAGAGACAGAACACCCTCTTCCCCCCAACACATGCTCTAGACGCCAAAGCTACAGCTGCTGCACATGGACCCACATCTAAGGCCACCTGCTCCGTGGCTCTTCTACTTGCACTCTCTGCTGATTCTAGTTAATCAGCTGCTCTGTGCAAGTCTATACTCCAGACCCAACTCTGTGTATGTCTGTACCTTAGGTACCAGAAACACCATTGCTTCAGGCTAACCAGCACCCCAAACCCACAGCCACTATCCTTTCTGCAGGTACTGTACTCTCAGCTCTGTGGCTGCTCCACAGGCATCCACCATAATTACAAGGGAGCCAACAAGGCAGAACCAGTGCCAAGAGGAATCCCCTTGGCCATGACACTTCCTATGGGGAAAAAATTCTACAAGTCCATAAGAAAAACCAAACAAACTTTCACAGTTGGTGTGGATACCTGCAGCACTAGATATTGAGGATCCCTGCAATCCTTGCTGATGATGACCTGAACTAACAGAGCTGCACAGAAGCCACAATCCTGGGCCTTCCATAGAGCCAGAACCACCACACCTCCTACCAAATGATGTCCTCACACCCACCCATTGTCAAAGATCTTTGCCAAACAATCTAATCTATGAGGGGTAACTATTCCATCAAATGCACAGATATTAATGCAAAGCTACAAGAAATAGGGAAAAAAAGAAAGAAACATGACATCACTAAAGGAACACAATAACCAAATAAATGGAGATTATGAACAGACAGATAAAGAATTCAAAATAATTGTTTCAAGTAAGCTCAGCAACCTACAAAAGACACAGACAATAAGAAAAATAAACAAAATGTTAAGTTCAACAGAAAGAAGGCAATCTAGAAACAAAAAATAATTATAAAAAGAACCAAACAGGAGTTCTAGAGCTGAATATTATATAATGAAAACAATGCAACAGAAAGCATCAACAGCAGACTTGATAAAGCAAAAGAAAGAGTCTGGGAACGCCAAGACAGATCATTTAAAATTATCCACTCAGTGGATCAAGAAGAAAAACAAAGAAACAGTGAAGAAGGCCTACATGAATTATAGGATACCATCAAACAAAATAATATTTGATTAGAAGAATTCAAGAAGAAGAGAAAAAAAAAGGGCAAAAGGTTAATTTAAAGAAACAATGGGCTCGGCACCCACAGCACAGTGGTTATGGCGCAAGCCACATACACTGAAGTTGGCCGGTTCAAACCAGGCCCAGGCCAGCTAACCAACAATGACAACTGCAACCAAAAATAGCTGGGCGTTGTGGCGGGCACCTGTAGTCCCAGCTACGTGGGAGGCTGAGGCAGGAGAATCGCTTGAGCCCAAGAGTATGAGGTTGCTCTGAGCTGTGATGTCATAGCACTCTACCCAGGATGACATAGTGAGACTCTGTCTCAAAAAAAATAAATAATTAAAAGAAAAGAAAAAAAGAAACAATGGCTGAAAAAACTCTGCAAATCCAGGGAGAGAGAGAAACATCCAGATACAGTAAGTTCATAGGGCCCTATGAAGATTCAACCTGAAGAGGACTTCATTGAAGCACATTATAATACACCTGCCAAAAATATAAGATACAAAGGGAATTTTAAAAACAACAAGTGAAAAGAAATTCATATAAGGAAATCCCCATAAGACTACTGGTGAATTTCTCAGCAAAAATTTTATAGGCCAGGGTATGGTGGTGTGCACCTGTAGTCCTAGCTCCTTGGGAAGCTAATGTGAGAAGATTGCTTGGACCTACGATTTCAAAGCTGCAGTGAATTATGCTGGTGCTGCTGCATTCCACCCTGGATGACAGAGCAAGACCCTGTCTCTAAAAAAGAATAAGAAAGAGAGAAAAAGAGAAAAACTTGCAGGCCAAGAGAGAGTTGGAAGATATAATAGTCAAAGTAAAGGAAGAAACTGCCAGACAGGTTACCTAGGAAAGCTGTCCCTCAGAAATGAAGGAGAGATAAACATTTTCCCAAACAAAAGCTGAAGGAGTTTATCATCACTAGACCTGCCTTAGAAGAAATGCTGAAGAGTTTAAGCTGAAAGAAAAGGAACTAGTTAGTTACATAAAAACATACTAAAGTATAAAACTCACTGGTAAAGATAAATATATAATCAAATTCAGAACACACTAAATTTGTAATAGTGTGTCAATCACTTTAATATAAAGGTTAAAAAGAAAAATATTAAAAATAACTA